CCGAGTGATGGATGGCATGGATTGGTATCTCAACGATATCTCCCTTTGGGATAGTAATCCCGGTGTCACCCAATCGGTAGTCTTCGGCCGCTTTTCTCGTAAGTTTAAGCGCTGTTGAGTGCAGTCTCAGTGTCTCTGTAATGACTGCATCCAAAAACGGCAGTTTTGTCAACACTTCGTAATCAATCTCTCCGTTTGTGTCCACCGAAGCCATCACTTCTTCGTATAGTTTTTGCTGAACGTCTGGATTGAGTGCCAATTCATAGGAACAGAAGGCCAGAGTAGAGGACGTGGTCTCAAAGCCGGCCGCGAAGAACGAAAAGCCTTGCGCTAAGACCTCGTCTTCGGTTAAGCACTTAATTGATGTCAAATTGTTATCCAATACTTTCTTTTTGTTGTTGTCTTCTATGATATAAATTAATATTTTATATAAATTCATAATAAAAATCATTTCAAACCCTCATTGATATAATGGTCTTCATGTCCATCGCTCTCATCTCTGTTCTCATCATTTCTTTCCTTCGCTTTCATCAGGAGTTCCACAAAATCATTGAATTTTGTCTCCGATTTCTTCCGGTTTTTAATGATTTCACGCATTGTTTGGCTGAAGAAATCCAACGACTTTTCCTCAAACAATGTCCTAATGTTTAGGAAATTCAATGCATTTGTCGGCAATAAAAAGCCGATCAATACTCGCCATACGGGCGGCGAAAACACTTTCCGGGCGTTTATTAAGAATGCATTGTTTGGGTCTTTTAATGAATTGGTTTTTGTAGCAAAAGCGCAGTTCGCGATCACATCCATAGCATAACAGCCATACATGTCCTTAGCGTTGATCTCCTGCTTGTCGACCGCATACGTGTCCAAAGTGTCCAGAAATGTGGCCAACGATTGTCTCACCAGCGGATACATGCGCTTCATCTTCCCGGGGGTGAACGTTGGGCTCACTATCCATCGGATCCGTCGCCAGTCGTCCCCTTTGGCCGCCACGAGAGTCAAATCCATGATCGGGTGCCGCACATTACCGATGCCTCGACGGCCAGCAAACACGTGGAAATCAGTGACCAGTATTTGTTTGATAAGATCCGGATCACCCACTTGTACTATGGCTTTGTTTCCCTCAAATATACTGGTAATGTATGCGACAATTATTTACCCATTAATTAAAGCAAATTAATTACTTCTCGTAAATACCCATAGATTTTGCCGTATTTTTGATATCGTTGTAACTCTAATACGGGATTTGGTTGTAGAAAGTTTCCCCATAACGTGCCCACAAAGAAATATGGTCGTGGTCCTTTTATGCCCAATTTGGTGAAATAATTAAAATTGCGTGTAAAGTACCTGCATTTATATAATAGAAATTAATAATAATGATTGTAATTAACTAATACTTTTGATAATACATACCAATAAACTAAGGGTATGGCAAATAACACGCCATATATTAGGCCGAAATTTGAAATAAATTCCAACATGAGTTGACCAGGGTGTTTATACTTATTTCTGCGTTACTGAATATTATTGAGCAAGTAATTGAGAAAAATATTTCACATGTATTTATTTATTAGGTATTATAATTAATACCTGTGAGTTTTTTTTGTATAGAATACGAAACTTGTATAATACACGTAAATAGAAGTAAAGAACAAATAAACAAACACCATCTGGGTATAAATGCAATAAAAAACACAGCACGTTTAAGATACTAGCAAATTCTTTTTATTAGTAAGAATTATTTAATAAAAATAGTTATTTATTAAATCATTACTAAATAAAGTATTAATTATTGAAAGTTAATATTCAATTCAAACGCTAATGTTTTGCCGACCAATACGTGCCGTTAGGGAACTCATAGTATTGAATGGACGCCGCTTTCATTTCGCAGCCATAGCCGGGATGTTTGGGCGCCACATATCGGCCCCGAGTGGCCGACGCCGGGTATGTGTAGTGTTCGCTCAAATGCCTCACGTATTCAATCATACGGTTATCGGTTGAGCCGCTGACCGACACGTAGTCCCACATTGACAGGTGCTGTACGTATTCGCACAGACCTACGCCTCCCGCGTGCGGACACACAGGCACTAGATTTTTGGTTGCATTTTATTAATTAATATTTAGTGTTTAGCAATACAACAGACCTCCAAACTTATGGGCCATTAATATAATGGACAAAATCTCGTTAACGCCACCCAAACGGCACGAATCGATTTGCAGGAACTGTAGTCCCTGTGCCTGAAGATACTGTTTGAAAAGCACCCGATTCTGGCACTGCTCGCCGGTCGCCACTCCTATGCCGTACGGTTTCAGTGCCTTTAGGTATACAGAGAAACACAAATGACATATAAATTACACGACATTAACAGATAATGAAGTGAGGGTTGCGTTAGATTAGGGAGAGATAAGGATAAGGGACTAGACGTTTAGTGCAAGTGACTAGACCTGTGCGATGCGCGCGTGTCCTAACACGTCGTCCGGAGAGGTGGGCTCCTCTATCCAGAGGAGGCCGAAGTCAGTCAACTGTTTCATCCATGCGATCGCTTCGTCGACGTCCCACCTCTGGTTCGCGTCGACCATCAATAGGCTGTCGGCGCCGATCTCTTCGCGTATTATTGACAGTCTATATATGGGAGATG